TAGAAGGGATTTGTCTCTTATATATAGAGCGTAAAACAACCTTGTAAGCCCCATGAGCATTTTTCTAACTCATAACACTTGCTCACATAAACAATTAATGTCATTATTGTTTAATGGTTGTCTCGACAAGATAAAGAAATCTTATCTTCTGTGTTCTCTTTATTTATTTTTTGTTCTAAAGATTATTATACTTAACTAAAATTTACCCCTTTATTTTTTTGATTAATTTATTCAAAAAAGTTCCGATATCTTTTGAGTCAAAGGCGGAAAATAAGTTCTTCCAACTCAAGAATCTAATCCGTGCGCAACTAATACCTGACCGGTAACCAAATGACCCCTTACATAATGTGTTTACTTAAGTTGATTTAGTCCTTAGTTTGAGATATTAATTAACTAATACTAACAACACACACGCATAATCAATACCAAAAAAGAGAATAATTAATACAAGGAAAAGGAAAAGAAACTCCATACTGAAAAGTTTCCAATCCATTACAAAGGAAGCAAACGAGAACTCAAAACAAAATATTAATATAGCTACTTCCATTTAACCATTTATCATTAGTTATTCCTGGTTCTGCAACTTCTCAACTCGCTGATTCAACATTTCAACTCTCGTAACCAACCGAGTCACAGAGTAAAGCAACCAATAGAACATCAACGCAGCGGCAATCAACAGCGCATTACGCTGGCTTTTCATTACAGATTTCTGGTGTCGCATCAGCTCCGTCGGGGTACACGACTCGGCCGACTTACACCTCGGGCGAGTCTCGTATTTCCAGTATATGTCCAATAACAAGAAAACACAGAACGGAACCACTGAAAGAAAAGGCTTGAGAAGGTTTCGTGTAACGGATATTAGACCTTTACGTACAGCGTATGCACCTGGAAGTGTTAAAAGGATTACCATCACCGCTTCTGCTGCCGCGGCGTAGCCTAAAACTACCCATTCTAACGCCATTGGAATTTTTCTCTATTTCTTCTATCTATGCTTGCTCTAAAATAATGGTTCTGATGAAATTTACAAGTGTGGTGAGTATCTATTTTTAGGGGCTATATATAAATGGAAAGTGGTGAAGGAATTGGAGATGTGGTGGCAATGAAGGAAGGTGCCACGTGGATTAGTTCTGCACACGTTCGGTTTACAGATGGCAGGTTTTGGTAAAGCTTTATTCTGTTTCCTTTTGAATTATCTAGTTCGATTTATAAAACCTCCGGACCTTGAAAATTTAAGCCGTAAAAAAGGACAAGTTAGAATACACATTTTAGATCTTTATTATTAAATCGTTGTGTCGGTTGATTCAATTATCTTATTGTTGATATTGTTTATTACTTCTTGTTATTATTTTTTTAATGCGAGAATCTATTGAAAACAACTTTTTACAGTCACAAAATTAAAGTGTACGTATACAGTATTCTTCCCAAATCCCATTATAGAATTATACTGAAATAATTGTTGTTATGATAAAATCCACATAAATCTTTCGTGTTTCAAAAAGAATGCATTATATCAAAACTTTTTAAACTTGAACTTCAGTTGTGTTTCTTTGGATGTATTCTTAAGCATTTTCTGTAACACTTGTAGAATACACAATAATACAGAGTATGTATATAGAATTGATCAACTACAGTAATTAATCGGCTCCTTATTTTACCCGTAAAACAGTACAGTTGAATTTATACGTAGTTTCTGGACAAGTAAACCAATTTAATCCAAAAATATTAAAGTAGTAATACGATACTTAGCCTCAAAATGTAGATAAAATAGCAAAATAATGATTCCGGGAGCAAGACTTCCGGTTACAACAACGATGATATCAAAAAGCAAGCAAGTAAACAATATAAAGCTTTGTATAGAATGCAGTATAAGTTTGCCAGAAAATTGGTGTCATTTACAATGATAACTGAGCTCTTTATTTATAGCTATGTCTTGGGAATGAGGTCCTAGGATCGTACCTCCTTTAATGTCAATTATGAGGGCCATTGATGAAGCTGTAACGGTGTAAATAAATGCCAAACTCCTTGTAACTAGCTGACGTTCCTAATACTGCAGAATATTCTTTATTAAATACTACCAGACGCAAAATATTAAATACATCTTTATGAACATCCTCTTCCGGTGACAAGCGGAATAGCTACATTCGGTGACCACATCCTCGTCTTGGGTTTTACGTGTCCTTCCTCTAGGTGACCACGTATCAGATCATATTTTTCCCTATACACTCCTATGATCAACTTCTTAGATGGTGTTTATTTTATAAAAATGTCAAAAAGAAATTCTATGTTTTTCAATTTTTTTTTTGTGAAATTCTTTTCAAAACTAAATATATCAATAGAGAAGCTTTTTATTACTCGCGGGACTTGCTAATGGACCCTGGAATTAGCTTCTGCTTTATGAGGTATGGAGTGAGGTATTTAATTTTGCAACAGTGGTCATTTTGGATAAGGAAAAATAGTAGAAAAAGTTTTTAATCTTTCTTCCCGCTTAAGATAGAAAGGGGAAGCAACAAGATTACGATTCATAGGTCAATCAAAGAAAATTGTCCAAAAGCTTTAATATTTAGTTAAGGCCCTAGTCATTCGCTTGGTTCTTCTCCAACCCAATCTTTTCAAGAAAATACGTACAATACGTTTTGGCTTAAAATGGGTCCGACTACTAGGTCCGTAGCGATGATCCTCACTCTAACGACGAGGTAGTAGCAACTGGATAATATTCATATACATTCAGTGGCGAAGTTTGAAGTTTACTCAAATATATTCAATTTGAAAGAATTTAAAAATTCATGCAAAGAGTATTCAATAGGCGTAAAATGCCTCTAAATAAAATATTTAATCTATATACACAATGCAATTTTTCGACAAAAGGTGGTCAACTGACCACCCTTGTAACCATGTGGCTTCGCCACTTGGTACATTTATAACGAAAATGGTTGTTGATCACTGGCTCCACTCAGTAGATAAAAATAGCACATGCTAGCCAGTTTTCAGAGTGGTCATTCAAAAATAGTCAGCGTTTGCAAAGTCATTGAAAAATAGTCACTATTTTGCTGCAACACGAAAAGATCCAGCATAATATACTGAAGATCGGTGCACCTGTGTATGAACTTCCAGCATATTTTGCTGGAATTCCAACACGCGAAAAGTTCCAGTATAATATACTGGAGAATGGAGCACCAATGCTCCAATCTCCAGTATATTATGCTGGACCGGTATATTATACTGGAACTCCAGTATATTATACTAGAGTTCCAACATAAGTATACTGGAACTCCAGTATATTATGCCGGAGTATTTTTCGGATTTTGAACAATATTTTTGTTAAGATTTATCTTTGCATGAAAAGTGGCTAAATTTCAATTACTTTTGAAATTGTGGCTATTTTTGAATGACCACTTGTCAATCTAGTTATTTTTAAATTTCTCCCGGTAGATAATGGTGTAAATGAGGCCCAAAATTTAGAAACTACAGATTGCACAATATTACAATAAAATGAGGGGNTATATATATATATATTCCGGCTATTTTTAGTTTAAGAGATTAGGTGAGCGATTATTTGGGTTATTTATTGAAGAATTAACCCGATTAGCTGTCCACTCATTTTCTTAAACTAAAATAGCAGGTGAAGGCATAATATATGTGTTATTTAGGTATATTATATGTATGATCGTGTATAATCTATGTATATGATTAGAAAAAATAAATAATGAATATGACTGTGGTGTAATTTAGAAGCCCAAACTTCTGGCCTCTTTAACTTTATTTGTAGTCCTTTCTTCGTCACATGTAAAAGTACGTGCTACATACCACCAACGCTTATATAAAATTAGTATAAGTACCAGTAATTGTAGCTCATACTCATCTTTTCCGATCCTCTATGTAATAAAATATTTCTTTTAAAAAAAATAAAGTACTTGTCACATCTTCATCCCTTTAATAATGTCTCCTTTTTGGTATATCAATGCTTTAGCAGGTTTTGTTTAGGAATATATACAATCTTTTTGCTCTAATTCTGGTCCCCTTAATCACAATAATTAAGTGAAAACCCACAATTTAATGGTCCCAATTATACATCTCAGGGCATTATTAAACTTGAACGCTTTAAACACGGTTGGATTTAAAAAAAATAAACAAAAGTTAGGACATTATAACATTCAAATGGATTTGTATATATCTAATATCATCCTACCTAATTCTTATGAATAAGGACTTACATATACCAACAGCTATGATATTGCATTTTATTAACTGATAAGTATTCCCCACTTCTATTATTATCTTTATCATTAAAACATTGATATCCATTTGATTGTCCTTCCATGTATTATAATAAGATTAACTTTAGATGTCCAAATGCAACTAAAATTAGACGGAATATTGCCTCAAATCATTGTCGTTGTGATCATTGATATTTATGTGAAATTAAGTTACTAGGAATATATCACTCAATTATTTTTTTCTGGGCTTAAATTTGACCAACCCAAGTTACTCGCTTATAGCTGAAGTATCTCATAAGAATAGACGTTCAAGAAAATCATGACCTGTCATATCACTTTTATTTGTTCTACTTTTTTTTGAGGACATACTCGGATACAACAAAAACAGCACAAGACATGTGGCAGGATTCCAACCTATGGCCGGCCTATCCCTGACCTGCTGGGTTGGGTGGCCGAATTAGCACCCCTTGTTGTCAAGACCGATATATAGCTGACGTGATTAGTAGTTTAATTTAGTGCAATTGAATAGAAAATTATTCTTGAACAAAAAAGTTAAAAGTTTTTGAAATAACAATTGAACTTTATGCATTAAAAGATAGCCCGACGCACAAAGTATCACGCGTTCAAAATCATGAGGAGTATTTTTTGATCATTTCTACAAACGTAAAGCCCCAATATGCATGGTATGAGTAAAGTTCGTACCCCAAAGGATGTGATATAGACAATGTACCCTAATATAATTATTAGTAGCTACTTTAATAGCTCAAATTTGTGACCTATAGATCATAAAGATACAACTTTACATATAGCAATTGAACTTTCTGCATTATGACTTTATATAATTGAATATAAAGTGTTCCTTACATGATAAAGGGCTTAACAAATTGCATATCCTTCACAAACAAAAAGTGCCCTAATGCAAGACTTTATCTTCAGCAGAAAGTGATTATGAGCACTTTAACAAAAGTATAAAGGCCAATTGTTACATGCACTATAGCTGCTATTATTGCTTTTGAGGCACCTGTTTCCTTCCAATCACTTTTTAGCCAACCTTTTGGGTCTTGTGTTTAGGATAAAGGAAGGAATCTTGAAAAAAGCATGGGTTAGGGTAAGAAGTAAGATCCAATATACAAAAGCTAAGATCACCAAAAGAAAGCAATTTACCCAAGTAAGAAGCAAGGGAGAAGAAGTTCTATCCACATGCACAAGATGTGCCTTATTTATTTACCACCTGCAAATGTCAAAGTAAAGAGGAACAATTATAATAGGCTCATTGCACATATGACAAATAAAATACTACTCCCTCCGTTTCATTATTTATTTACCACCTGCAAATGTCAAAGTAAAGAGGAACAATTATAATAGGCTCATTGCACATATGACAAATAAAATACTACTCCCTCCGTTTCATTATTTATTTACCACCTGCAAATGTCAAAGTAAAGAGGAACAATTATAATAGGCTCATTGCACATATGACAAATAAAATACTACTCCCTCCGTTTCATTATTTATTTACCACCTGCAAATGTCAAAGTAAAGAGGAACAATTATAATAGGCTCATTGCACATATGACAAATAAAATACTACTCCCTCCGTTTCATTTATATGACTTAGTTTGACTCGGCACGGAGTTTAAAAAAAAAAAAAAGACTTTTGAAATTTGTGGTCTTAAAAGCTTAAGGGGTAAAAAGTTTGTGGGACCATGACATTTGTGTGGCTATAAAAGTTTCTCATTAAGGGTAAATGAATAAAATGAAATAATTTAAAGTTGAATTATTTCCAAAGTTAGAAATGTGTCATTTGTTTTGAAACAAACTAAAAAGGAAAGTACCACATTTAATATGAAAGGGAGGGAATACTAATTTTGCTGGAAAATGAGCTTCAAAGCTTGAACTTTCACTTTAATTCAATATATACAATTGTTTTCGTGAAGTGAAAGTTTTTTTGTTTTTATTAATGATTACAAATATACTGCCTTAGTATTACAAAAGGAATTAGCAGGGGTACGTGCAAAGTATACAATCATAAAATTGGACTGACACAGTTTTAATGAAATGACATAGACAATGATGATTCATATAGCCAACTTCAATTTGGTTCGACCGTAGAACCTTTATATTTATTCATTGCACCTTTAACAAGTGGCATATGAAGTATAAAAGTTGATGAGCATGATCAAGATAAAAAGAAGAGACTAATTACCTTTCTTTTCACAAAGCTTATTTAGAATCGAAAGGAAAACAATGAGGACAGCAACACCAGCTATGAGCCCAATTGTAATTGCAAGTGTCTTTTCAACATCTTCATCTCCTGCAATTATTTTATAAATATGGCTAAACTTAAGGAAGTACTCTCTCTACATTGTCAGATAAAACTGATCGGCAACTGAATTTTAAGTGTATAAAAATCATATCTATTTGGCATTGTAATAAAAATTGGTCACTTCTAATAGTTTGTTAGAAACTAGTGTTTGTTAAAAATTACTTCATATTGATGGAAATCTCACATTTATCAACTTAAATACTCCTATATATTTTGTAGATGGCAGGATGCGCCAAGTCTGGGCTGTGGTACTAACGCTTACACACGTAGCAAGTTACCTGATGGATCTTTCCCTTTAAAAAATTGAGTTAATATCGTGTGGGCTGCAATTTAACTATTCAATTTGCATATTGTATTTACTTCTATTTCCATTCTAGAATTTCGTCATTCATATACTTGAAATCTCGTCCTAACTTCACCTATTAGAACCAAAACTTGAATATATGAGTGGCATGGAATTTTCCTTTCCAAGTGAAATTTCCCAATATATGAAAGAGTGACCACTTTTTCTTTGTCATGACTTATAACGCTAAACTTCCTGGAAGTTCTCTTGCATTTGGAAAATAACAAAAGACCATATGCCTGGACTGCTTGAATCTTTCCTGGAAATAATGTACTCCCTTCATTCCAAATACTTTTCGATTTTTGAGAGTCAAACAAATTATTTCTTGACCCCAACTTTTTAATATGCATTTTAAATATTTTGAATTATTAATTATTGTGACTTATAATACGTTTATATAGTTTTCAAATATGTAAATTCTATTTCAAAGAACTTCAAGATTCTATGTTCGAAATTTTTGATTAAAGTTAAGACGTGTATTCTCTCGAAATCCGAAAATAACATTTTTTTGGAACAGAGGAAAGACATGATATTGATAATTTTTTCGAATGATATCTAACCCTTAAACTATGATCAAGTAATGATGCAATTAATTATGCTTAGCGTACGAATCCTCAAGGTTAATTACCTAATGAAATCCACAATTAAAGGTGGAAGTGATCGGTTCTTTAGTTCTAAAAAAAGCTTTTCAAGCAAATTTAAATATATATATATATATATATATAT